GTTTCAGGCAGCACAACGACCCAGCAGCAGAGCAGGGATGAGGGAAGAGGGGCTAACGAGACAAAAACTACACCCCACCCCCACCCCCCCCCCCCCAGGGAAGGTGCCTTCTTTCCATTTTTACTTAAAAGTGAACTTCAGCCTAAGTGTTAACCCGTTGACATCACCTAAGAGCCTCAGGAGTCCAGTGCTGGAGAGCGGGCCTGCTTTTAGTGATATCTAGCGCCATCTAGTGGTTACAGATTTAAGTGACTGCAGGCTTTTTAAAAGAGTTGGTATTTTACCAGATATCCAAAATATGAAACATAAACTGGATGAAATCTAAATCACTTACTATTTCTGCTACCTATACTAACATAAGTGAAGAAAGTTCCACCTCCAGAGCAAAACTCTTATTTGTGTAATTTAGGGTGATTACCAATAGCACTCTCAAAGAAAAGGCAAAAAATTGCATAATGACACCAATTCAAAGCTATTGACTTTAGAACTGTAATTTTAACCTATTCCTCTAAAATCAAACATTTGTTACTATAAATATGAAAATATAAACCGTATGGGAGAAACCTGAAATTTCTTTTAACATATGAAACTTTTCTCAACTGAAATGTTACATTTATTTTCATGTCTCAACATGTACATACTCTATCTTTAAACTTTTTAAAAAGTCTTTTGACATTTTTAAGGATTCAGAAAGTAGAGGACACATCTGTCGTTCATTCAGCCTATGAATGAAAGTTGGTTGAAATGCTTTGCATAATCCTCTAACATCCTGGTAACTGTGAAACACAGAACTCAAAATATCTCTAATTGGTGACCAGTATTAACCTGAAGAGTATAAACTTTTGTCTTTATATTTACCTCGTCCTGTCCTAATAGATCAAGACTTAAATGCTTTTTTTTTTAGTTCCCCAATATACATAATTTACTCCCCAGAAGAAAAAGGTTCAGACACTTCCCCCCAGGCAGCCACAAGAATACGACCTACACCCCCCCCCCAAGCTGGGGTGACCGCTTACCTGAATGAGGAGGGGGTGTGTGGGCCACCTGTCAATTGTGCTCCACTTCATGGTTGGTTTCTTTCCCATTTCGTTATAGTATCTGTAAATGGCGTTTAAGCTGCTGCCTGAAATATACAGGGGCCACTTAGTCCCTGCCTCTGACTGTGGTACAGATGAAACAGACTAGCAAAGGAGCTAACTATCAGCTCCAAGCAGGTATTTGCTTCCATAGTGGAGCAGTCTAATTACCATCATCTCAGTGCTCTCATATGCATATAGATTCAACTACTCTGCAAATGAAGCTCACTCACAAGCAATCAATTTCAAAGGCTTTTCAGAGTATAGAGGTCATTTCTAGTGAGAAACCGGATGGAAGTGGATTTATGAAATCAGTCGTTATTTGCAGGAGCCATGCCTTACAATTGAAAGCCTGTTAACATTTTTTTTCCATTATGAAGGTAACCAACCCCATTCCAGAAAATGTGGGGAGGACAGGAAAAAAAGCACCAGCTGCTACCCCAGCAAGCTAATGCAGTCGCTGTCTTGTTCGAGGTACTTCTTTCCAAATATTTTTCTTTACAGCGGTCATTGTTTGACAAAAGTATAATTTTAGTATATATGCAATTTTGTATCCTGAGTATTTGGGGCATTTTAATTAATATTATCAGATGGATATTTTCCAGTTTATATTAGCATTGGGCAAACATTCCACAACTTCCCTATGCTCCCCTACTCGATCCACTGTCTTCCCACCAACTATTCATTGGTTAGCTTTCCAAATTAAAATGCTAGTCGGGACAAAGCTATACTGAAATCAAATGCATGCTTAACTTAAGAGTTTTCTTAAAATATCAGTTCCATTTTGGTGAGTAAAACATGATGAGTCAGATGCCAGGTTCAAAATCGATCTCTCCAGAAATTGCCAAGTCGTCACCCACATCCATGCTGCGCACCACACTTCACAGGTGCTGTTACAGAAGGCTGTTGGGAAGCCACATCTGTTCTTCTGGTCACTCAGAAACATGCAGTGAGCAGCCAGAAGGGGGGGGGGGGTAACTCACAAATGCTTTCTGTGGAAACTTAATACCCTGTGCTGATGACAACCTGCGTGGTCTCCAAGGACAGGTATGCCTCCAGTCTTTCTGTTCTCACACACAGTGGGACGCTATGCCCGTGCAGACAGGGGCGGTTTAAACACTGTGGAGCCAGCGGTGAAATGAACCCGTCACCAACCTAGCAAGAAACAGCCATCTTCACGCATCTTTTTCTGCGAGCACACATTTACATGTTGACGTTTAATTTTTTAATCAAGGCACAAGTTTAGCAATTGATAAACTCAGCTTCACTGTCCAGTGGCATGCCACCCTGCACCCTGAAACTGGAGAGGCAGATTCTAAAAGTCATCGCCCTCAGACCTGGAAAGTGTTCGAAGATGGTCTGAATAAACATGGAAGGTTACAACAGATTTGGAATATTTCCTTCTCCTGTTTCTCTGAATAGCTATAAGAATGAAATGCACTAATCTCCAAAAGCATTTGCGGAGTGAAATATGCTGACCCCAGTCCTGGAAACAAAATGCAAAGTCACGGGTGGGTGGTCCTAGATGCTTTCCTACAACTTACAGCACAGAGGCTGCAAGCAGAGGACTCTCGCCTCCAGTTACACGGACAGCATGCAGGTGCCGCTTTCTAACCCCTAAAACACTGAGCGGTTTGCAAAGAGAACCTCAAACTGGGTTTTAGTTCCACCAGTACCCAACCCACACCTAAAGCACAGCGAAAAACACACCCATACTGCCAAGGTAACGTGGGAACCTCTGCTTTCAAAATGCAAACAGCTATCACTTTGGACACATTAATAAGAATATCGGGCTAGCCATCAAAATAAGGTTTATTGCACAAACGCCCAGAGCAACTAAAGGTTTATTACTGACCCCCTACACCGTGCAGTGAAGCACTGAACACCGGCACCCCCCACACACCAACCCTGTTTGTAATTCTCAGCCGACTAGGCAATAATTCAAGAGACAGATGAACCGTGAGATTTCAAGTGGACGCTGTGTTTCAAGCAGACAGCATGTGGCATGCAAATCGCGGATGACTGACCCTCTCCGTGGCACCAGGCAGACCCCCACGGGCAGGGCGCCCTCACCTGTGGTAGAGCAGCTGTACTGTGGATACTGGGTGAAAGCAATGGCCCTGTCCAGCCCGTCTCTCTCCATCTCCTCAATGGCTTCTTCTGTTAACGGATGGACGTACCGAAACCCGATGTAGTATTTGTGAGGGGCTGTTAGGAAGCAGAAGTGGGAAGGAGAACGCGTTAATCTTTACCTAGATTCCTAGAAGGTGCTGAATATCAGGCAAAGCCCAGAACAAAGAGCAGGGAACCTAATTTCCTGTGACGCCGATAATGAACATTCCTTGTGACTTACCCAGTCCTCAGCTAGTACGGGGAGTTTTAATCACTATTTTGTGGGACCAACCTTCCCCCTTAAACACACACACCTTTATTTAGCACAACGGTTTTAAAAATTCAGGCTCTGTGCCATTTCTCAGCTCTTGGCCTTGAGATAAGGGAGTCCAGAGGAAGAGAGAAGGACTCAACACTTATTCTTAAAGAGCAACCTCCTCCTGAGCCCTCCCTGGTGGCGCAGCAGGCTAAAGCACAGCACTAAGAAGCTAAAGCCACTTCTGCATGAGTTCGATCCCCGCCTGCCCCGGAGGTGACCACATGGTGCGGCAGACCTCTCCTGACCCGCCTGCTGCTCCCCTCAGCAGTGTACCTTGTCGATCTGCCTGTTCTGCTCCCCACTCTGTCCTCTCACCCTCCGCATTTCTGGCCTGTACCCCAGTTCTGTATGAATAAATAAATCTTTAAAAAAAAAAAAAAGAGCAATCTCCTCCTCTAAGCTCATACCATAGTAGAAGCTTACTTTCTGCTTCCCCCACCTTATTAAAAAGCCATCTTCTAGGTAAGAAAACAGACTGTCAAAGCTTATTAACCTACCCAAGTTACCCCTCATGAGCCTCAAACCGAAATGTTCATCTGGGCCTTCCCGCCCCAAAGCCCATGCCCCAGCTGGCTTCCACCACCCCAAGTCCTGCCTCCTGCCCCTCAGGCCCCTGGGTCACCTAGTTTACGTAAAAGCATCTGAACACTTAATCAGAGCTCACAGAGGACAAATAATTGAAATGATTCTCTTTGTTTAACATGTGAAAAATACCAAGAACCTGCTTAAGTGGGAGGCCCCGAGAGGGACATTTGTCTTCAGCACCCAGTTGCCTGGGTCAGCTGCACATCACTGTGAACTCCATCACTCCCCCACGCCCTCTTCCCTCTCCTCCTCTCTCCTCCTGCCTCTTCTGTTCCTATATTTTAAAAGTATCCACAATCACACAATTTCTTAAGCATTTATAAGGTCATAAATCTGGAAACTGGACCCTCCCTGGTGGTGCAAGGGGTTAAAGCGCAGCACTGTGAAGCTACCGGCAGCAGCATGAGTTTGATCCCAGGCCAGGGGGTGACCCACAGGGCGCAGCAGACCTCTCCGGTCTCGCCCCCTGCTCCCCTCAGCAGTGTGTTTCAGTACATCTGCTCCCACTGCCTCTGGTGAATCCTCTCACCCTTTGTACCTTTGGCCTGTACCCCAGTTCTTTTATGCATAAATAAATCTTAATAAAAAAAAACTGGAAGTTTCCTCCAGTCACACGGTCTTATCTCCTTGTCTTTCTATGTCTCCCCTGGCAGTGGCAACACTGACAATACCCTTCGTGAACACTCAGTAATGACAGCAAGACACTGCTGCGGTCCAAGCCTCAGCAGGGCTGCCTGTGAGGCTGTGACACTAACTTCCCGCCAGAAACATCTGGGTTAAAGTGAAGGCGAGGAGGACATGAAGGCTGCGTGTGCACGGGGCAGAATTCGATATCCTCTGGCTGGGAACTGCCAGAGAGAGGAAGGAAAGGGGAAAATGAAATCATCTTCGGACACCCATTTTAGGTCCTCCTGCATAAAATATGGAGAGCTGCATTAAAACCCACCAGAAGGCACGGCCCGGTAAGCGAACTCCCGTGACGGATGGCTTAAAGATTGTGTGGTTCTTGCTAAAACTGCCAGCTCTCCCGATGTCATCAAGGCCGGTCTTAAAGAGCTCCTGGTGGTCTGAGCTGAGGCTGAAGCGGAACGCGCTTTCTAATCTATTTCGAGCCAATACCAGGCTCCACCACAGTGCAGGAAGAGGCAAGATGGCCCAAGGTCACAGGCCAGCACAGTGGCTTCTCACCTGCCCAGTACTGAAGGGGCAGCCTACCTGCCTGGGGGCTGGGAGTTCCCCAAATACATGGACTATGCGATAAGGGCAGCCTGGGGCCACATTTTGAGTGAGTGAGAGTCAGATATTCTGCACAGGACAGATAAGGCTTGTGGAAGCCATGGGCCAGGAGGGCAGTAACTATGTCCACAGAGGTTCCTTGCCTTGCTTCAGGGGGGCTTCACACGACAGGCGCCAGGGAGAGGAAGGGGCGCCCTGGGTGTCACCCAGCACCCGGCCTGGCCAGTGTGAGCCCCAAACACAAGCTCGCCGGCCCAGGGGTTCTGGCCCTCAAGTAGCTGCCAGTGAACAATGGGGAGAGCTGGGGAAAGGGAAAAGGGACAGAGGAACTGGATTTCCAAACAGGAAACCTTCATTTAATTTCTACCCGTTCACTGAGCAGGTGCGGTCGTTCAAATGTCCCATTTGTACAAGGCTCTCAGGAAGAAAGGTGTGAGATCTATAGCACCACGCTTTTCGTGTCTGTCAGGTCGGGCCCCCTGCCCACAGTGAGTGATAGCGAGCGCTTTCATGTAGCAAATGCCTGCGCCACGCCACTCACCCTAATGATGCCTTTCCCAGACTATCTCATTTAATTTTCACCACAATCTTGGGAGCTGGGGGCAACTATTCCCCCTGTTTCCAAGATGAGGTTCAGTGAGGTGAGTAATCTGCCCGAGTGAAACAAGCAGGAGAGAGGAAGCCAGCTTGTCTGGGCGAGAACCCACTCTCCTCCCCGGGGTGCCGCCCAAGTTCTTTAGCTGAGTAGCGCCCACTGACAGCTTCCTCAGTCACGATCGACATGACTGCACTATGAATTTTTCAATATATTTTTTATTTGACTATTTATGAAATGATAACACCTCTCACTGACTCCCTTCAATGGCCCCTAAGCTACTGCAACTCAGTCTAACTGAGGGAAACTGGTTCCAATTTTGGGGTCCGTGTAGAACTCACCATATTGATTAGTTCATTGATCAATTTGATGCAAAGTCAGTGCCAGTCACAAAATTTCTAGGTGGACTACCAAGTGCAGCTACACCCCTAAAAATGTGTGTGTAGTCATGTTCTATTGCTTAAAAAATTCTCCACAGGAAACAAACCAACTTTCTCCACAGGAAACAAACCAACTATCATTGTGTAGGGAAGGATCAGAGGCGAGGCAGAAGCAGAGAGAAACAAAGAAAGCAGAAAGGAACGGCCACAGGAGGAGAGGCAGGAGCTCGCCCCCACTTACTCCCTTTCTTCCAGGGCCCTTCTGGTGTCGAAGCCCCAGGGATATCTGGACAGAAAACAACTGCACCTTTCCCCACTGAAGACGGCAAAGTCACGGCAGGTGGGAGCCTCGCTAGACCTTTTATCGGGCTATAACCAAGGACTAGAGTCTGTGCTCACCAAGTGGGGCTGAGAGGAGGGGAGCGAAGCGCCCCTCACCCACCACTTAACAGGGGCATTGTGCCCAGTGTGGGTGCACCGTGTAAGGGATGCCTGTCACCCCGGGTGGCGGCAGGAGGCAGACCTCATATTCAGAAGCCACCCACAGTCTTCCAGGAGATCACGGGCCAGGGGAGCCCCAACAGCCTGCACTGGCAGCCGTGTTCTCTCAGGGGAGAAAGGCCAGCACAGCTGATCCCTTGGGGGTCCCCCTATGTCCTGCGCCTATCCTGCTCCTGAACCCCTAGACACAACTGTAATTCCTACATCTCGGGTGTGCTAAGAGGCACCGTTGTTTTCAGTTTCAACGTTTCTCCCATTGGTCCTCACCTACACAGGATGCTCTGAACCAGCAGCGTCTGCTGTGTCCAGTGTTAAATGAAACAAGGGGTGTCCGCCTCAGTGGAGTCCTGGATGCCAGTGAAAAGCGGGCCTTCTAGTGGATTCGTGCAGTTAGCCTCATTCTGGACATTAACACCCTGTACTAGAGGCTCTCTGAGGATGGACATCTGAAGTGTACATGCTCCCTTTAGACCCACGTGCCAAGAGGCCCCAAAACACCAGCAGAGCTGGGGGGCTGAAGGCAGTGCTGTTGCTCAGCCTCACGGCTGCAGCGACACCTCCTCACTCTGCTCTAAGTGGGGTGTGATCAGTGCTCCATGCAGAAAGGCAAGAGCAGCAGCATCAGCCGGCACCCCAAAAATCCCTTGCCAGGGCAGAGAGACAAACCTTTTATTCTTGGTATGTGGCCTCTGCTTTATAATCTAGTTCAAACTGATACACACTTCAAAATTCCTTTTGAAACTCATGTTCCAAGTCTTCAGCTTTTTTACTGGCCCCATGAGGAAGCAGGAACACACAGCGAGGACAGAGGATGTGCCTCGAAACCCCCGTTAGGTGACCATGACAGACACAGCGTCCAATAGCCCATAGCGCCTGGATATCATTGCTGCCTTGGCCAGACCAGGGGAGCCATTCATTCAGGAACACGTACCTGTCTCGGGTGACAAGTCATCCAGCAGCTTCACCATGCCTTCTCCTTGCTTGGAGGTCCACATCTTGATGGGGGACCCTCCTCCAATCCTGTTGTACTGCGCTTGAATTTTGGGGGTTCGGCGTTTGGCGATGAAGGGTGCCAGCTTGCTAAATCATTCAACATGCAAGTAAGAGGGTTTTATTCCACATAAGCAACTTGAGAAACATTTTCTACTCAATCAAAAAGACAAGCAAAATTTTAAGAAAAACTTAACCAGATGAAGCCTTTAAAAAAAAAAGAAGCGGCCCTCCCTGGTGGCCCAGCAGCAGGTTAAAGCACAGCACTAAGAAGTTAAAGCCACTAAGAGTTCAATCCCCACCTGCCCTGGAGGTGACCACATGGCTGGCAGACCTCCCCTGACCCGCCCACTGCTCCCCTCAGCAGTGTACTTTATCCATCTGCCTGTCCTGCTCCCCACCCTGTCTCTGGTAAATCCTCTTACCCACTCCCCAACCCACCCAGCACCTCTGGCCTGTACCCTAGTTCTTGTATGCATAAATAAATCTTTTTAAAAAAAACCTTATGTTAAAGAAAAAGCAGGGAAAGCGGGAGGGGCAGGAGGAGAGGCGGTATAACGTGTAGACGCTGCGCTGGTATGTGATCCTGCCTCCCTCGGCGCCAGGCAGTCAAGTGCCTGGAACAAACATCTCTAAAGACCTTTACAGGATCCAGCAGGGCCAAGGCCACTGCAACTTCCAGCTCTGCAGAGGAAAGGAATGCAGGAGAACAGCCACTACCCTGCTCTCACGCCCTCTCACCATGCTCCCAACTCCGAATCTAGCAGAAAGCCACCGAATCGCTCCGACATAGCCATGAAGGTCTTCTTTTTTTTTATGATTTATTTATTTATGCATACAGAACTAGGGTATAGGCCAAGGTGCAGGGGGAGGAGAGTGGGGGTGAGAGGATTCACCAGAGACAGAGTGGGGGGAGCAGAAGAGGCAGATGCATTGAAATAACTCTGCTGAGGGGAGCAGCGGGCGGGTCAGGAGAGGTCTGCCGCGCCCTATGGGTCAGCTCCCTGGTTGGGTGCTGCACCACCAGGGAGGCCCCTTTTAGTATTTTTAACCATAGGGATGAGACAGGGACGGCTCCGTGCACTGCCTCGGTCACGAGAAAGGCAGGTGCGGCTGTGCGGCTTACCTTTGAAAAGGCAGCGTCATGAGGTCCCGGTCCAGGAAGAGTCTCAGCAGGAAGTCATGCACGTCTCCCACCGACTCGGGGCCGCCCATGTTCAGCATTAATATTCCTGTTTTGGGCTTCCTGGATACAAGAAAGTGCAATGTTCGATTTGTAGCATTTTCTTTTTGCTTTAGGGTAGAATCCTGGTTCAGCTAGCAAACTCTGATCAGTTCAAGGCAAAAGCAAAAACCCACAGGCCTTTTCCCTGCTCTGTGGGTATGCACCTGTTTGCTGGACTGCCTACCTGAGAACACCCCATTCTCCCCGCAACCGCCAGTTTACCCCCGGGTCTATGGATTTGCCTACTAGGGCATTTCACAGAAACAGAATCATATAACTTGTGGCCTTGGTGTCTGGCTTCTTGCTCTCAGCATGAAATGCTTCGGAGTCACGCAGCTGGTGGCCCAAATCAGTACTTTTTCTCTTAACCATTGTTACAAAGGCTGAAGGGTCCTCTTTCCACGTTTCCTGCATCAAGACTACCTCTACCCACCACAGCCTCAAGGTGGCTCTTGATGGGACCCCTTCTCACTGTGCCCAAAGCGATGATACGAAGATAGCACTTTACCTGTGAATCTTGACTGCTACCACCTAGCAACGCATGGGAGTGTACTGAGTCCACGTAGGGAGAAGCCGTGTCTATGACCAAACACTGTAGGTCAATGACGGAGAAATCTGAAGTCTCGGCCAAAAGTTTCCAAATAAGAACCAAGTCCCAGGGAAAGGGACGTGTTGCTTTACAACAGGACTTTCTAACTCAGACCCCAGCTCCTTCGCTCGGACCAGGGTTTCTCAAATCTGGCACTGGTGACATTTGAGGCTGGAAATCCTTGCTGTGGACGGCTGTCCTGGGCGCTGGAGACACTTGGAGCAGCCCTGGCCACTACTTACTGGGTGACAACAACACACACCCCAGCTGTGACCAGCGAAAGGGTTTCTGCTCATTGCCAAATGTGTCCTTAGGACCAAAATGCCCCCCACACCCCCACTGAGTGTGCGTGGGAGGAGCTGGAATCTCCTTTGCACTAACCCAAGCTGCTGCTCTGAAGATGCCATTGTTCTGTGCGACTTTTCCACCTCCTCTGACCAGAAGGCCCATCGATGAAGCCACACCCTGGTATTTAGTTTTCCTGATAGATACCTGGCAATTCAGCTTCATTATAGTGTGAAACAGTAATGTTCCCTTAATGTTTCTACTTAGAACACAGTGTTCTCCTGGGATCCTGTCTTTCACTTTCAAAATCTGTGACTCAAAATAAATTAAGAGCATTTTTCCATGGATCGCTGCCAGTTCACAGATTATGGGTTGAGACCCCAGGCTAAGAGACTTACCTAAGACAGAGGGTATCAGCCTGCAAAGGGGATTTAGAACTGTTTCTCATCTGTAACACCTGCGCTCAGAACAAGAGTGGCTCTAAATAGGAGGTCATCCTGCCTTGCAAGCCCATGTTTTGCAAACCATGTTGATCTCATACATGAAAGAGATGCACACGATTTGAAAATATCTAAATACGCATGAACTTAATTCAAAACGGTGTGGCGCATGTCGAACGGCGCATTAGTGAGCTCTCTGCAGACCCCCCTCTGCTCCTGCGAAGCGTCATTCAAGGGTCTGTCTCTCTTCTCCCCTCTCAGACAGGGCACATCTGAGGCCAAGTTCTGAACAGTCAAGTCCCCTTTGTTTCCACCTAAAGGTGTATACACAGTGTGCAGAACACACTGGAGACCTCTCATCTGAAAGGTTTCAACATTTCACCATTTTTACATTCTGAACTATTCGTTGAACGGACAGAAACTAAAACCCATCAATTAATAAACAGGATTTGACCTACTGTCGAAATTTGATGTTTGACCTAACGTCAATATCAAAATAAGCAAACCCTAGCTCTTCTTCAGAGGGACGTGAGAGAGCTAGCCTGAGGATCTTTGCTGTCTCTAGTTCAGGGTTTGGTAAAGTTCAGCCCGTGGGTCAAATCTGCAACCCGCCCCCACCGCCTGTTTTTATAAATATAGTTTTATTGGAACACAGCTCTGCTCATCTTCTCTCATCTCACACCAGAGCAACTGAATAGCAGCAAGAGTCTCAATGACCCACAAAGTCAAAAAATATACTTTTGAGTCCTTACAGACAGCTGCACTGACCCCTGGTGTAGAAGAGGGTGGTCTAGCTTTGTCTAGTCCCATTGAGAAGATGTACCCAGCAGACAGTGTTCATAGTTCACAGCAGACCGCGCCATAAAGATTCTCCAAGACACACATCACTTCATCATTTCTAGAATCTCAGAACTAGAAATACCTGTCAGACCTCTAATCCAGACTGGATAAATACTGATTTAGCATACTCTTAAGCTACTCTAATAAGGTTGACCATAGTCACATCATAACTGTTACTAAGTAAAACGATGAAGTTACCAGAATAACACATGTAGTATTGTCACATTTTAATAAATATTGAGTGAATATTAATAGAGACAGGTATAGAGACAGGGATGTGAGATGAATGGGGATTTTGCCTTATTTTTAATGGAAGCCATTTCTTTTATATATATATGTGATAGAAGGGCACTTCATAGAACTTGTAATTTTTTAGATTTTATTTGGCTTTAGCCATTTAACATTAAGGTTATTGTAATGCTGAGTTTTGCCACTAGGAAAATGAAGTAATTCAGGGTTCCATATCAACTCAGCTCTTCCATTTATACCAAATATTGACTCCAGATCCCAAGTTCTCAAGGATTTTGTGGTACAGTGTGGTGAGCAGAAGGGTCACGGTGCCAGGAGAAACGCTGTCCTGTGGGAACCTTGAGAACAGAGACAGGGTCTCAGCTCCCCATCCTCACAGGCAGCAACTTTGAGGGGGACAGAGAATGAAAAGGAGACTTGAGGCTTTATTCCTGGTGCTCCACTCCAGCAAAACCCAGTCTGGACCCACAATCCCACCATGAAAAATAGCACAAATAAGAGCATTGTATTCTTATTTCTGCTACTTACTCTTTATTTCTGCAAGGATATCTAACCTGGCAGGAAACTCAAGGCGTTAAATAGCTCACAGCCACTTTCTCTCGTGCAGACCAGAGGGTGCTGTTTCTAAATGACTCATGCACTCAGCTAACCAGCCGCCCTGTGAGCAGTGCCAGCATCGCTACCAGAGGGAGACCCAGGACCACCCTGCCAACATCCACTGCCAAGAGAAGAGGTGAGGCCTGAGCGATGCACTTTCTCTCTATAATAAATTAGAAGCCATATTCCGTCATTTCTAATTACGTTCATGGTAACAGATGAAAAACAAAGGTAGAGTTTACTGTAGAAATTCTAGGTAGATTAGTTATTCTTTATCCTGTACAGGACATAACATTTCATAAGTATAATTATGTTAGTTCCTAAATACATTTCCAGCATACATGTGATTTGTGTAATGTGACATATTCCAGAACTAAATTCCTCCATGAGTTGCAGACTATTTAGTCCTCAGTAGCACTAATTGGACACTATAGTGTCCTTTAACAAGAGATCGGCCGGGGGGGGGGGGGGCAGGAGGAAACTACATAGCGCTGCACTTTAACCCTTTGCACCACGGGGGGAGATATGTATGCCAATCATGTCTCCAGGAAGCTGGAAAAAAAAATTAAGTAAACAATGTTTAAGTCTGTGGAAATTCAAAACAACATTTTACACCTTATGGAAGTAAAATCTGTTGAAGCCAAGGAAATAGCACACTGCTGCTTAGATACTGTTTCGCTGGCACCTTCCCACCCTCCCTGGGTTTGCATCATAAAGAGAAGTCCTTATCAGTCCCTAGGACTAGACTCCTACCTCTTCCCAGGTTGAACTTGAGGCTTGGGCTTCGGGCTTCTCACTTGCTGGGCTGTTGCTGCGGCTGCCCCCGACTGGCACCTCCATGGCTGGCGGGTCCTTGAGCTGCCCAGCACCACTGTGGCAGAAGCACAGAGGTCGCATGAAATCTAGCGCAGAGTAACTTCTTTCGAAGAGGTGCTCACAGCATGAATGCCTGGGCTAGAGCTCAGAGACGCTGGGCAGAGATTTCCCCAGTATTTCTCCACAGGCGCAGGGGAAGGCAAGGCAGCCTCTCCAGTGGGGCGGTGACGTCCCCCAGGCTGC